GGAACGCTTGATTTTCAACATGTTTATTTTTGATAAATACCACTTACTAGCCTCTCATCTTTCCTCTGTGAGGGAGAAAAATTCCATCATTATTAAATATTGATTTATCATCTCAACGCTTCCTGTTAAAAACCAGAAGTGTTCAATGAGCACACCTGCATTTTCACATCGTTACTGGCTGTTGTTTAATTTCCATCTAGTTACCGGAAGATCAGTAGGAATCTTCTACTCTCCTTTTCAAAGATGTCTTTGTTGCCCAGAGACACTTCATCTCCTCTCTGTTGCTTTTCGTCCCTTGCTGCCTACGTTTCGACTGCAATCTGTGCATTTCAGAGAAGTCCGGTGTTACTTGCCTTATTGCTGGGGCGACACGTAGCTCACGGACCCTCCCCGTCTCACGCTGGCAGGCAGCAGAAAACTACAAAGTCAATCTTGGCTTTCCCAGTTGCTAACGGAGACTTCTGCATGCTTTACCATGCTGCAGGGGGGTGGTTTATGTGTCTGCAAGTCCTGGCACTTATTTCCAGTAGACCTCGGTCATCCAGGAGTGAAGGTTAACAGATGGCACATCCCCTTCACATCTCCTTTTGAAATGTCAGCCATGCTCTCTGGCAACTCTTGAATCCTAACAAGTTTTAACGTGGGTAGTTACATATAAATGATGTGTTCCTGAGTGCTTCTTGCCTAGGTTATTGTTATCAAAGTTGGAAGTTGAGCAGTTTTTTAAGAATTTTAGGATACACGTGGTCTTGTGGCTGGGGTGCTGCACTGGTGCTTGGGAGCGCTGGGTGCAGAACTGGGTTGTGCCATAGGCCTCCTCAGCGTTAGCGAGTCATGAAGAGGGCCCTCAGTGCGTAGGTCTCTCATCTGAGAGTAGTTTTTCTCCCGTGCGTTGTCCATCTTGATTATTTATCTTGTGCTTGTGTAGCATGTATCACAGTGGGCCTGATCTCCGCTAGTCCCTGCATTTATTTAGTATTGTGCTGTAAATAAGACCTGCCCTACTTTCATTCTCATTCATGCTTACTGTGGTAAACTCTAAACTGTTCTAGATTTCTCTCAGGGGTGATGCTCTGTTATTAAAATGATGATTTGCTGCATATTTTGGTAATCTAATAGTACATTACTCACCAGCCTCTGTCTCCAATGATACCCATTGGTTTGGCACATAGCAAAGAGCTGTTTGGACGGAAAGCAACAGCTGGGCATTTCCTCTAATAAATTTTCTTCCTTTTTGTATTTCCAAGGTACTGCACAGATGAAAATCAGACGTTTCCTCAGCCGTTCATGCTGGAGAATCACATCAGTCTCATGCACGGCATCAAAAACCCAGACTTATCCCAGATGGCCAAAGCAAAAGCTCCAGAGAGAGACACAGCAGAAGTAACTGATATATTTTCATTGAAAAATAAATGTACTTTGCGAGTAGCTGTTCACATGGGGTGTTATGTCAAGCCGCAGGCTTGCGGCAGTCAAGCCCTCTCATCCCTACGGCAGATTTCCTTCCCCTCCTCTCAGCCCCATCCAGTTTGCTTCTCTCTGGCAGTGTCGGGATCAGAACTGAAAGCGCAGCTGAGCTGCAGCAGCACCAGGGCAACGTATCTTGCATTTTTCAAGATATTGTTGAACGTGTGGCCCTGTGTTTTCCTGGCCTTTTTTTTTCAGTCTACTTTGTAACCAGGTCTAATTTAGGTTTGTTACTACCCTTGTTTTCCCCTGCCACTCTGTTCATGAGCATGGTACATTATTCCTCTTTCTCCCTTGTTTTTTCTGCTAGTTACAAAAGATTTCTTTCCTGTTTTAAAATACTTATTAGATCCATTACCTACGAGAACTGAATTTCTCCTAAATAGGACTGTGTAGTTTTTCAGCAAACGCAACCGTTCAACTAATTTTAATTTGGGTTGGTTTAGAGTGGAGGGTTGCCTGATTGCTCCACTTACTTTAAAAATAGACGTACATTTTCCCCATCACTGCAATTTATCATTCATCTGTACCCTCGCATTGAGGGATCGCAGCCAAGACTGTCTCCCCTCTATATTTATGCCGTAAGGAAACGTGGGGTAACTCAGGAATCCAATTCCATGAGCTGGTGGCTGCTTTTCCCAAGCAGAGCCGACATACCAGGGCACCCAGCTAAATGGTGGCTTCACGTGGCTCCAGCTGGGTCTGCAAATACAAGCCTGTATGCTGTATCCTAAACAAAGACAGCTCGATGCTGCTGGCTCAGGAGATACCAGAATCACGTGAAGGGACATATGCAAGTGAGCCATCCTCATGGGAGGAGAAGCACGCTGCGGGATTGTCAGACAGAGGGGATGAGTTAATGAGAGATGCCATGAAGAAAAAGCCCGAGTGGAGGGGAAAACGTCAAGAGTTAAATCTGAGAAGCATTGTCTGGGTTAATGACCATCCCTGTGTCCCTCAGCTGTCCCTGCTCTGTGGGCTCCTCTTTCCCACACCGAGTTCATGTTCTCTTTCCCCATCCCCTTTCTGCCCAGCCAACCCCTCCCAGGTCTCCCGTCGCAGGACGTTGAGATCCTGCATGTTGGGGTGAGAGGTTTGGGTGCTGGTAGGAAAGGCGATGCAACAGGAGTCCCTAGGCATGGCTTCGTTTAGTTTGTATCAAAATACCAACCTGTATTCACCCTCAGGTGCCTTCAAATACGCGTGCGGAATTTAGCATTTAATTCTTCCATGTGCTCGAACAATAAATTAACTTTTAAATCTTGTTCTTTTAAGGCAAAATCTCCAAAGAGGATGGCAACGGATGAGCTGGGTCAGGCAGAGACCGCTGCAGGTTCAGACGCGCCGCCAGCCAAAAAACTGAAAGCGCACTGGAAATGCGCTAAATGCGGATTTGCGACAGACATCAGTACTGAGTTTCAGGAACACATACCTCGGCACAAGACAGACAGCTCCACCTACCAGTGCTTGTTCTGCGGCTTGTGCTACACCTCTCACATCTCCCTGAACAGACATCTCTTCATTGTTCATAAAGTAAAAGATGATGAGGAGGAGGATGAGGAGGAGGATGAGGAGGAGGAGGAAGAGGAGGAGGAGGAAGATGAAAGGCAGAAGTTACAAAGGGAGATGAGTGAGAACGGACACGAGGGGTATAATGGCGAGATGAACACTACGGCGGAAGAAGAAAACCTGAAATGCAAAGAGCGTAAAAGTGACTCAGCTCTTTGTGAACACAGTCAGACATGTGGTGTGGAGGGTCCTAATAGCACCTCGCAGAACAATCATGCAAAGTCTCTTAAGACTTAAAAAACAAAAAAAACCCTTTTGGTTGGTTGGGGTTTTTTTGTTGGGAGGTTTTTACTCAAAATACGGGGTGGGGATGGGGCAAATCTTTGAAATTTTCTGTTGATTTCTTGGGATGGACATAGCTTTCCGTTAACTTCTATTTGTAAGGGAAATTTAAAAAAAAAACAAACCACAACACCAAAACAAACAAACAAGCCCCGCCATTGCATCCTAAGCACTAACTCTCTGCCAGACCAGAGAGGTGAAAAGGGAAAGCAGGGCGAGAATCCTCCCTGGAGCTTGTCCAACTCCTGAGGATCAAGGAGCACTTTCTGCAGCTGCAGTTTTCCTTAAGATGAGCTCTCTTCCTTCGAGCGTGCACTGCCTCAGCCTCTGCCTGGAGCCCCAGCCTTCCCTTCCTTTCCTTTCCCTTCCCTATCTTGCTTTCTTTTTCCTTCTATTTATGCCTTCTTTTTTCTCTTCCCATCCTGCCTTTGTTTTACTCATTTTAACTCCTAACGCTGTCTCAGCTGTCAGGACCATGCTGGCTGATCCGGGATCTTCTGCGTTATGCAGGACAGGTTCAAGCTCTAAGTTGTGCCGATTTTTCTTTAATTGCCCAAATAACAACCTTATTTTCCAAAAGGCAAGTTAATGAAACGTCTTGGACCAGAATCATCCTGAAAGAAAGTTTTGCAGCCCCTGTTGCCTAGGGTGAGCGCAGCTCAAGTCCACATGTTGCGTTAAGGAGGGCCTGGTGCCCCTCGGGGACTCGCTGGCTGCCCGTCAGCGGAGCTGCGCTGCTGGTAGCCGTCCCGGGGGTGGGTGCAGCCGGGCTCTGTGGCTCATCCCAGCGGGGAGCTCGGGCAGAGCCGGGTGGCAGGTTGGCACCATCCTCAAAGCAGGTTGGCACCATCCTCAAAAGGGGAAAACCATCCAACTATCCTGGTGTTCCTGATAGTGTCAGCCAGCTGCCAGGGCTCCCTGTCGGGATGGTGTTGAGGCCATGGCAGCGGTGGGCACTGCCATCCCTCAGCAGAACATCTCCTCCCACTGTGGCCTGGCGTTACCCGGCACTTGGGAGACACTTCTTTCCATGTAGTCATATTGACTCCCTCTTTCCTCACTCGTTCCCCCATCACACACGCGCTTCGTGTAATATAATTATCTTCTATGCCATTATTTTTTATTACGTTGAGCCAAGAACCCTGCTCGTTATTGTTTACTATATGACGGTGTTGAAATAATTTAAGAACTATTTATCTGATTGCATTCGGATCGCTCACCTCCTCGTCTCGGCGTGTTTTGATACGAACAGTTTGGACTCTTTGTATATTTTTTGATACGGTGTACGTTAGCCTAGGGGTGTTTTAGCCTACGTAGAGTTAAGGGTAGCGGGGGCCCTCCCCAGCCATCACCTATCTATTTAACCCGCAGCGGCGTTCGTGCCTTGCTATGATGTTTACTTCAAAGTATTGCAAATAAAAGCATCCACGGGTGCCTGCCTCCGGCGTCGTTCCTTCCTCAGGCCGCCATGGCCGGCCCTGCACCGCCTCCCGGAAGAGGTGTGACCGGAAGCGGGGCGGTGACGCCACCGGAAGTCGGGCGGGAAGCGGAAGCGGGGCCGGGCGGG